TTTCAAGTAATTTCTTAAAAAATCATCGAAATATATTGAAAATTCAGGTCATTACATGGTAATTTTTCGGAATATCACCGAAATTCCATGTTTTTAGCTAAAAATTCCTCGGCATTACTAAAATTCAGTAAAAACTGAAATTTCATGTTGGGAATTTAGGTGTAATTTCATGTAATTGTTTAAAATTCCTCCATGTAATTCATTTAGGATTTCGTGTAATTCGATCAAAATTTAATATAAATTCTATGGAAACTCCACAAAAATTTCCCATCTAATTCCTTTTTCAGAATAACATAATTATTCTACCGAAATTCCACTAAATTATGGAATTCTGAGATTTTAATAGATTTTTGGGAATTCCAAAGGATATTTGGGAATTTTAAAGGAAATATTTTTCAGAAATGTCAATGATGGGTTTAAAATAACCTATAAATCGGGATTTGATAAAAACATATGGCAACGCTGCTCATGATAGAACAAACGTCAAAAAATTGAAATATCAAAGTAGGCCTTGGTTTTTTTGACAGTCAATATAAAATGGCGTCTTTTTGTTTCAAAGATTACGATCCGAAGGGCCGAAGTATTAAAATTAGTTGACTATGAACGGGTTTGTATAACTCCGGCCCTTTGGGCTCGTATAACCTCGGACCTTCGGGCTCATGATTAAAATAACTCCGGCCTGTCGGGCTCGTATAACTCCGGCCCTTCGGGTTCGCATAATTCCGGCCCTTCGGACTCGTATAACCTCGGCCCTTTGAGCTCATAATTGAGATAACCTCAGCCTTCCAGAATCGAGATTCGAAAAAAAAACATATGGCAACACTGCTTATAATATAACAAACATCAAAAAATTGGCCCCTGTTTGGCTACTTTCTACGTATTCGCCGAGGCCGAGGCTATCTACATGTCCATGTGGGTTTTTTTTTTTAATTTTGACAACTGTCAATGTCAAAAATTTTTACCTTTTCTTTTTTTCAAAAAACAAATGTCAGAAAACGATCCCTAGGCTCCGAAAACCCTAAAATAAGAAGTTTCATCGATATACCTATAGGGTGTTCTAAAAAAGTTAGAGGCTTTTGAAATTGAGGATTTTTTCAATGCAACAAGGCTTATTAACTTTCTTCATACACCCTGTATAGAGTTGAAATTTGAAAATTTTATAGAAAATTGATCGACTTATTAGAGGCTCTAAATTGATTTTATCGAAAAAAATTAATAACAAAGTTACAGAGGTTGTTTTTTGGGAAATAGAGCGATTTTTGCGTAACTCTAATAAGACAACCTGTAGATTGAGGCTAGGATATTTTTAATAAAGTTTCTGAAAAACAATTAATTAATCTATCAAATTCCAAAATTTTGTTCCTATACAGGGTCTCCTAACTATTAGAGGCTTTGAAAATTGAAGATTTTTTTAATGCAACAAGGCCTATCAACTTTCTTTATACACCCTGTATGGAGTTGAAATTTGATAATTTCATAGAAAATTGATTGGTTTATTAAAAGCTCTATTTTGATTTTATTGAAAAAAATTAATAACAAAGTTACAATGGTTATTTTTTTGAGAAATAGAGCAATTTTTGCGTAGCTCTATAAAACACCCTGTAGATTGAGGCTAGAATATTTTTAATAAAGTTTCTGAAAAACAATGAATTAATCTATCAAATTCCAAAATTTTATTTCTATACAGGGTGTCTTGCAAAAGTTAGAGGCTTTTGAAATCGAGGATTTTTTAAATGCAACAAGGCTTATTAACTTTCTTTATACACCCTGTACAGAGTTGAAATTTGAAAATTTCATAGAAAACTGATCGGCTTATTAGAGGCTCTATTTCGATTTTATTGAAAAAAATTAAATTAATTTTTTTTTGGGAAATAGAGCAATTTTAGCGTAGCTCTATGAGACACCCTGTATATTGAAGCTAGAATACCTATATCAAAAACCAACCGCCTGGCAACGAAGAATGTCTTTTTTGACATATGTTAAAAAAAAAAATTGGTACTTCCTACGTATTCGCCGAGGCTAAATCTATATGCCCATGTAGGTTTTTTAAAATTTTGACAGCTGTCAATCTCAAAAAAAAAATTCTTTTGTTTTTTCCAAAAAACAGTTAGTAAAAAAATTCAATTTCCCGTCGGGTTTGGAATTCAAATTTTTGAATTGTCCCGGCTCCTGATTGGTTTGGGGATTCGAATTTTGATTATTACCGGCTCTTGATTGGCTTTAAATTTTGAATATTTCCGGCTCTTGATTGGCTTTAAAATAACCTATAATCTCGACCCTTCGAGCTCGAGATTTGAAAAAAAAAACATATGGCAACACTGTTCATGATACAACAAATGTCAAAAAATTGAAATTTCAAACCTTGGGTTTTTTTGACAATCGATACAAAATGACGTCTTTTTGTTTCAAAGATTACGGCCCAAAGGGCCGGAGTATTAAAATCAGTTAACAATGAACGGGTTCGTTCGGATAAAACTTTTGTCGCATGACACTTTGGCAATATCGACAGATGTCACCTGTCAAATTTGACACATGTTCGACTTTTTCCCCGCTCTACTATAAAAGCTACGAAAATCAAACCCCGGTACAAGGCAGTTTCACGACGCCAACTATCGATTTGTGTCAAAAAAATTTGACAGCTGTTAACGTCAAAAAAGTTTTTTTTTTTATTTTGCGAATTTCGAGAAAAAATGTGGTAGAAAACGATCCCCGGACCCCAAAAACCTTAAATAAAAATTCCAAAAAAAAAAAACAACGAAAATGACATTCCAAAACCTACTTGATAAAACTAAAGTTTTTCTCACTTACCCCGTTAAAACACTGGAAATTTTTGGTGGAAAATGAAGAAAATTCAAAACCTCGCACGGTAAATTGCTTTTTTCCATTAAAAAACTCCGGAAAAATCGAAAATTCGAGAAAAAACTGGCAAAAAATCACAAGGCGTCACTTCAAAATGGCCAACTAAAAGCAACGTTGCCACATCACGTCTCGGAAAACAAAAATTACATTTTAAAAGAGTTTTTTGTTTAAAATTCAATTTAATAATTAATTAATAATGAAATTAATAAATCAATGAAAATGACATTATAAGGTTTACTTATTGATTATAGTGAGTAAGACAAAGACAACGATAAAGTAGTATATGTTTGCAAAAACCACCGTTTTCTGAAAAAAGTAAAATTCTTAAGAAAACCCCATAGAAAACAAACATTCCAAAATCAATTTGATAAAACTAAAGTTTTTGAATATTCCCGGCTCTTTGATCGGACGCTAAAAATCGCATTTTAAATACTCCCGGTTTTTAATTGGCTCTAAATTATCCGCTGACCAATAGAATTATAGACTGAGCTCCGTGATTAAAATAACTCTAGCCCTTCGGGCTCGCGTATAACTCCGGCCCTTCGGGCTCGCCTATAACTCCGGCCCTTCGGGCTCGCGTATAATTCTAGCCTTTCGGGCTCATATTACTCCGGCCCTTCGGGCTCGCATATAACTCCGGCCCTTCGGGCCGGTAATACTGAGTATACCAGATTCACAGATTTTAGTCGTGGAGGCGCGGGATTGATTGAAATAATGTTGTCAGATTTTTCTAAATTACATTGAAATATCGAAAATTGGAATTCTGTTGTGTAATTTGTGAATTATTATTTCAATTAGAAATCAGGAATAAAAAATTGAGATTGAATTTTCAATTTTTTGGGGGAGGTTTAGCCTTCTCTGCCTCCTCTGACGAGCCGCCACTGGTTCTTGCAGTGTTGCCAATAGTTTGAAAATGGCTGCTAGATATATTACAGAAATGCATTGGACGATTCTAAATCAGTGTTGCCAATAAATATGTGTTGGCTCAAGACCACACGACAAAAGTGAAAACTTCACAAACGATAAACAAACATCACAAATACTTGAAAATTGCCGCCATATTGAATCCTGGCATTTGTGGTTTGGATCAAAGTTGTTTGAAAGAGGGAGGTTGCCTAATAACTTTTATGACGTCACCTGTATGCCTAAACTAAAGAAGTTTTCGCTTCAAAATCACACGTGGCACTGAAATTTTTCAATCAGTATTGCCAACGGTATTTAGAGATTACACAAAGAAAAAGCTTGAATTTCGAAATCGAAAACCTGAAAGCGGCGAGATTGAATTCCACCAACTAAAGCTTTGTGTGACGATAGAGAAAGAACAAAGAAAACTCGTCAAAGACCGATGTAGGTAAGTAAAATGCAATAAAAACAAGAAAATCTTTAACGATTTGTTTCTAAATGTATAGGTTTTTTATGTTATATTTAGGATGACGTCATCGAACAAGGGCAGACAATGTTGTCATTGTTGTCAATGCCTATTTTTTGTCCTATAATTTACCAGAATGTCATGTGTCAATAATTCTAGTAACAGCTAAGATAACAAAATAAAAATCTTTATAAAAGTCATGCAACGTCGCGCACCGTTGCCAACCAAAAACATCTAAAATTCTCTTATTTTAAATGCTTTAAAAAGTACTTTTAGTTTTGTTAGGTTGACAGCAAAAATTTACTAAATGTGACCTCATCCCAAATATAACGTAAAAATCCTATACAACCTTGTTTACTTGTAAAAAAATGTTGCCAACATTAAAAATTATTGGCCCCATTAACAATCGACATCGATAAACCAGATACATTTATCAAACCTGGAATAGGGAGAGCATTTATTTGGCAACCCCCCGAACCGATAATAAATTCATGACAATAGAGATCCGTTTTGCAGTAGTAAATTGTGCTCGTTGTTCACCTGTTATTTTCCGCTTTATATCTATTGATGTATAACGTATGGGTATTATGACGTCATTACACTGAATTTGAAACAGTGTTGCCACATTGTCATTTATTTTTCAAACATTGTTGCCAGCTGCTTTAAAAAAAAAAACCTTTTTGGCGCCATGTATTACATATTATACTAACAAAATTCTAGAATCTTCGATTAATTATTTTTATGCAATATAAAATAAAATTTTTGCACTTACGGCTCTAGACTGGACGTCGCCGATTAGGGCCGCGATCGCGTAATAAACGAACATGCGGGGTGCGAGGGCGCTCATCCTGTTCTGGACGAGGGCGCGTGCTGAACTGTCTGGATTTCTGGAACAGGGCACGTTTTTCGCAAAATTAAACGCGCGTTTGTTCCAGGAACTAATCTAGCGCCATCTATTATCACACAGTTTTAGCTTGATTGATGACGCTATCTGTAACTAATCGTTAAATTTACTTAAAAACAAAGTGATTTTTGATTGGTGGCGCCATCTATGTTTTAATTGCGTAACTACTTCAAGTCAAATCAATGAAAGTCAAATTTTATTGCTGGCGTCATCTATCATCGAACGGCAACACTAATTTATTTCAGCCATCTTAACCTAACTTTTTCAAGTTTAATTTTTCTCAAATTCGAATAATAACTCTCTTTTTGGGTGAATTTTGGCCCCAAAAACGATGGCCACAGCAGCGCCAGTTGAAAATGTTGAATTTTCTAGTTGGTTGAGTGAGAAATTGCAAGAGTTTAACACCGATGAAGAGGTTTTTGGCTCGTACATTACGGGTATTTTGGACAGCGACGATCCAGATGAGGAAAAAGCGGAGGCTTTGGAGGGTATCCTGACTGAAATTGTTGTGAATGTAAGTAAAACGAAGCTTGATTTTCCATTACACAGTATTTTTCATCCAAATGTGAGATTATGTTAGGTTTGGAACAGTTTTCAATCTCAGATGTTGTGTATGGTCTTAAATTGTCAGTCTCAAGACAATTTGGGAATTTTTGAAGTCTTTACAATCTTACAGTGAGAATTCTTAGTACAGTAGAATCTTTAAGTCTTCTTCATCATTTAAAATCACAAAGGCTTTGAGGATCTCTCAATCTCTAAAGTCTTTATTGTCAAATCTCTAGCAGTATGTCATGAAACTGACTGTTTTAGATCTTCAAGATCTTCAAGCTTCAATCCAACTTTTTAGATTCTTCAAAATCTTTCTTTTTTTGAGTCTAGAATTGGGAGATCGTCTTCAATGTTCTAATAACTCAGAAATGTTTAAGATCTTTGGAAAGGTCTCTAAGTCTTTGATTTCTTTGGATTGTTTTAGTAGAATCTCGAGTAAAATCTTCAAAGGTCTTTAATCCAGAATAGTTGCAGTCTTGGGTCTTAAATTATCAGTCTTTATTTGAGGTCTTGAATAGAAGTCTTCAAGAATCTTTTTGGGTCTTTAAATTCTTTAGTTTTAAGCCTGAAGATACTGCAGTGTTTAAAATCTCTAAAGTTTGCTTTACAAATTCACATTTCTTAATATCTGCAGTTTCTAGAGACTTTAGTCTTCATTATAAAATCTTTAAAAATGTCTCTACAAAGATACCCAAGGGACAAACCACCTAGGAATTCTTTGCCAAAAATGTAGGGATTTTAGAGGAATTTGTGGGTAATTTGAAGGAACTCATCGGAATTTATGAGAATTTGGGGAATTTATAGGGAATTCAGAGAAGGTTATGGGGAACTTGAAGGAACTTGTGAGGAATTTATAAGGAATTTAAAGGAAATTGTAGAGTCATGACGTCACTGAGGTTCACATTCTTATTATAAGAAACACTAATAAATAGAAATTTAAAAAAAAAATATAGTTTTGTGTTGAACGTTGGACATTCATTTTCATTACAGAAATTCTCCCAAAATTTCACTTCATGATTTACAGGTTCAAATTTAAAAAATTCAAAACAATGAATACAGTTTTTGTAGGCTGATTTCCAAGATTCTTCATGTTGTTATTTTTCACTGGAAAAATTTGAAATTCTGGGAAAATGAACTTCTAACCTTCCTCTTCACATGTAAAAAGTTTCAAATTTTTTCGTTCACTAATTTTCCAGGAAAACTTTGAAATATGTGAAACGATATTTTCAACTAATTTAGTTTTTGTAAGTAGATTTCCGAAATTCTTCATGTTATTTTCCGCTGGAAAAATTTGAAATTTTGGGAAAATAAGCTTCTCACCTTCCTCTCCACATGCAAAAAGTTTCAAATTTTTCCGTTCACTGGTTTTCCAGGAAAACTTTGAAATGTGTGAGACAGTATTTTCAACTAATTCAGTTATTGTAGGTTGATTTCCAAGATTCTTCATGTTGTTATTTTCGAATGGAAAAATTTGAAATTTTGAGAAAATAAGCTTCTCACCTTCCTCTTTACATGCAAAAAGTTTCAAAATTTTCCCTTTACTAGTTTTCCAGGAAAACTTAGAAATGTGTGCGACTCGAGGTGAGACTGTATTTTTAATTAATTCAGTTATTGTAGGTTGATTTCCAATATTCTTCATGTTGTTATTTTCTACTAGAAAAATTTGAAATTTTAAGAAAATGAGCCTTTAACCTTTTTACTCTTCACATGCAAAAAGTTTCAAATTTTGTCTTCACTAGTTTTCCAGGAAAACTTTGAAATGTGTGAGAGTGTATTTTCAATTAATTCAGTTATTGGAGATTGATTTCCAAGTTTCTTCATGTTTTTATTTTTCACTGGAAAAATTTGAAATTTTGGGATAATTAGTCTCTGACATTCCTCTTCACATGCAAAAAGTTACAAAACTTTCCCTTAATTAATTTCCCAGGAAAATTTTGAATTGTGTGAGACTGTATTAACAATTATTCCAATTTTTGTAAGTTGATTTCCAAGATTTTTCATGTTGGTATTTTCCACTGGAAAAATTTGAAATTTTGGGAAAATGAACCTCTGACCTTCCTCTTCACATGTAGAAAGTTTCAAAATTTTCCCTTAATTAGTTTTCCAGGAAAACTTTGAATTGTATGAGACTGTATTAACAATTATTTCAGTTTTTGTAAGTTGATTTCCAAGATTGTTCATGTTGTTATTTTCCACTAGAAAAATTTGAAATTTTGGAAAAATGAGCTTTTCCTCTTCCTCTTTACATGCAAAAAGTTTCAAAATTTCCTCTTCACTAGTTTTCCAGGAACACTTTGAAATGTGTGAGACTGTATTTTCAATTAACTCAGGTATTGGAAGTTTTTTTTCAAGATTTTTCATGTTGTCATTTTCCACTGGAAAAATTTGAAATTTGTGAAAATGAGCCTCTGACCTTTCTCTTCACATGCAAAAAGTTTCGAAATTTTCCCTCAATTAGTTTTCCAGAAAAACTTTGAATTGTGTGAGACCGAGGAGGAATCCACCTACCTAACTTTGTACAGGGTATTTGATTATATTTGGCACCATACCTACAGCCTTTACTATTTAAGATAGAAAAAAATTTTAAATAAAAAACTTGACAGTTATTTTCTATATTTTCTGATAACGTTATTAGAAAAAAACAAAATCGCATCGGAAAAAGGAGAAACGTAAGCAACTGCGACTTTTTTTAATGGAACACCCTGTATATTATGCGATAAAATGAAAGATCTATTCTTTCTGATTCCAAATATACTCGCAAATATATATATATATTGATAACATTTGCGTGACCATATTTTGACATATCTCAAATTAAATTATAAAGAATTTGCAGAGAAGTTCCATAAGGATCTCTATCTTTATAAAATTTCTTTGAAATTTAGTAATAATTTAAGCTAAGATATGTCAAAGATGGCTGACGCTGAGGGGTGAATAGCTGACCCAAAATTTGTACACCGACTGCCAAATTCCACAAACTTTAAGGAAATTTGCTAAGATTGTGAGTGATTGTGTAAGATTGTGTACGATTGTGTAATGATTGTGACTGATTGTGAATGATTGTGTCTGATTGTGTAAGGATTGTGAATGATTGCGAGTGATTGTGACTGTTTGTGTCACAATTGTGAGCGATTGTGAGTGATTGTGTAAGGATTGTAAATGATTGTGATAACTATGTATAATAATTGGGTTAGAATAAAACAACAAAATATCAAAACTAAGTTTTTCTCTGTAATTTTGAAAGGTTTTTTAGAAAATGTTGTATTTTGGGACGCCCCTTGTATCTTTCATAAGTGTTCCAAAAGGTGACAACAGTAGTGTTGTTCAAAGGGCACAAATGTGCTAAAAGTTGCACTTTTCGCCCGCAAAATGCACGGTGGCCCCACTTTCAAATTTTTAAGATGAGAAAGACTGAAGCATAGACTGGAGCTGGAGCAGGATTTTCTGTTTATTTCTATTCTATTGTATTTTTTGTTCATTTTATTTCTTTGCTAGCAACTCAGTCCCAGTCCTGACCTGTGAGAATTGTAATGGATCTGTCAGGTCATTGGGGCCGTGTTCGTTAGTGTCATCTTTTTCGTCGAATGGCTCCGAAATTTTGACAGGCATGTGACTGCATCAGACAGTTTCAATTCACAAATCACGTGCTTGTCAAAATTTCGGAGCAAATCGATGGTATTTGTTAGAGAAGGCAACTGCATAATACTTTTCTACTTCAAGCTCTTCTTCAAGCTGCTGTTCTGGATCATTGAAATATTCCTCTCCACTTTCTAAACCATGGAAGCTAATTAATGAATCGGTTGATTCTGATCGAGATTCTGATGTTTCATCATCAACCATCAATTAGTACATTTTGTACTTTTTGCATATTAGCTTTTTTGCGGTTTTAGTATTTTTGAAGTTTCTTTCTTTTCTTAGTTTTTACTATTTTTCTCTCTATTTTTTTTCTCAATTTTTTTATTACTTCTTTAATTTTTTTCAATTTGTTTTGTTGTCACGTTTTTTGACATTTTTCTCCCTCACCTTTAGTAACCTATTTGATGATAATTTCCACTGATCTAAAAAATAAATGGATAAACAATCATACAGCTTGATCGGTAGAATTTGTGCGAAAATTTGGGGTCAATATTCTACGAACAGTTGTGCAACGGAACAGCCTAAGGCTTGCGCAGTGTCTTATCTTTCGAACAACTGTTCTAAATTTTGAAATTCCTTCATTTTCATTGGCCAGACTTTGTGCACACACAGTACATGTATCTACTGCGCACGCTCACAGCTGTCCGAGTCAGTTGTTTTGTTTAGATTATGACCTCATAAATTAGCAGCATTAGAAGCGTGTTCTTTGTTTATCCATTTATTTTTGAGATCAGTGATAATTTCCCATATTTTTCTGAAAAGAACCAATAGAAAGAAGTTTTTCTTACTGTTGGTAGTTTTTTATTTCTCGATATTACTTGGATTTAGTGTGAATTCTTTTTGGTTTTTCAGTTAAACTTTTTTGCTTTTTATTGATAATTCTTTAATTGAAGATTGTCAACTGAAGAAAGTAAAGATAGGTCCTTTTCGATAATTATACATATTCCGATTCTTCCTCATATATTTATGCTTGATTTAGGGTTTATGGGAATTTTCCTGTTCAGTATGACGGAGTTCAGAAATTTATGCTGCAGAGGTGGCATACAAAAGTTAGCTAATCAAAAGGGCTTATTAGCTAATTAGCTTATTATTATGGGCGAGAATAAAGTAAATAAAACTATTTGGAGGGACTCCACTGCGACCGATGGTAGTAGATTGTGTAGCGATTGTGAGATATTGTGCAACGATTGTGGGAGATTGTGACACGATTGTGAGAGATTGTGTAACGATTGTGACAGATTATGTGAGATTGTGTAACGATTGTGACAGATTGTGAATGATTGTGTAAAGATTGTGAGGAATATGTACACCGACTGCAAGAGCTATTCA